CGTCGTGCCATCATTTAAAGACAGGGAAGTTTGCTGAAGCCTTTTAATCTACTGCATCTGGCAAGTCTGTCTTTCATCATAGTTAAAGTGACGTTAAATGGATTACTAAGCCTCCATGCGCGCTGAATTTATCGTTGTGTGGTTTAAATAAGAGTTTATATAGTCATTATGGTAAAATCGGCCATTAATATGTGCCTAATTCACCACTCTGCAGAGAGCTGGTCCTGTCTAATATCAATGCAATCCGCTGTGGAAATGGTACTGCGTAGGCTTGACCTCTCAGGCTGACCTTTCGGGGTAATATGCGGGAGGTAACGACCCCTGAGCTTGCAGTGCGTCAGGAGGCAGGAGATCGCCTTCTGCAGGACATGATTTTACCAGGTTGGCTCCAGAACTGCCGGCACAGCGCGTAGTTTAGCTGCCTAATCCTGTTAGCTGTCTTAGGAGGAACTATTTTGATTGTTCCACAAACCTCTTTGCTTTAAGCTCATAAACCCTGGGACTGGATAACTGTGGAGAGGAGGTGTGGGCTGCAGGGCGCCGGCACGATGCGAGGAGGCCGCCTGCGTGGTGGAGAGGTCCAAACCCAGAAGTGGCGGAGGCCATCCTGGATGGGCTCGCCTGGAGCTCCCTCGTCACCTCTGGACTTGCAAGCTGGGCTGCTCGAGACCAGCTCTATCTCCTCATTTTTAAAATTTTCCCTTTTCCATAGGGCAGGGTGAGACACCTACGACTTGTAGAGAAGGGCTGATTTTGGGAACCGATGTGTGATTGACAGCGTTCGTAGCTGCCCTGGACAAAGACGTGATTCTCATCTCAGTTTAATCCACGTATCAGCTGCTGAGCTCTGCCGCAGCAGCGATGCTTCTGAATTACAGTAATGTGCGAGAGCTCAGACCTGGCAATATTTTCATGCCTGACACAGCCACAGACATTCAGGTCTCTGGTTTATCCATGCACCAGGCGTGACACAGGGAATTCCAGGTCAGCTTTCCCTGTCCCTGAGGCCAAATGTATAATGTCCCTGCAAATGTATAACCTGCTTAAAGCTGGAATTGGGGGGACGATGATGGACGCTCGTCAGCTGATGGCTTTCTTCAGGCCTGAATTCTCCTTTCATGTTTGCCCATTAAATTTCCATTGGTATCAATGAGGTGTTGGATTGTTCAACCTCACCAGAGACCTCAAGGCTTGGTTATGGACTAAATGAAGTATTTCTCAAAGGCAATTTT